GCATGCAAGCTGACAGAACCAGATAGGGAGTCACTGGGTTTGGGGTTTAAAGAAATGGATGCCTCAGTTAATTCTTGGCTCTGTCATCTGTATGTCAAACTTCGGATTGTCTCTCTTCCATATCTTCTGTTGGACGGAAGCACGACAGCCCAGAGCCTCTCATTAATCCCCCATAGTCTGGCAGAAGAGACGACCACGAGACACGGCCCCAGGGTATGCCTGCCGGCTTTCATTTTTCCACCGGAATGACCCCAGTAAGATCCAGTGACATCGCTGCCAATCAAACGTACAGATGTCAATGAAGGGAGCAGGACAAGTAGATGACACGGGGCACACAAGCTGCCTCATTTACATCCCACCCTGGAGCGAGAATCCCACCAGAGCGCCAGAGTCCCACTTACGGGCAAACCCATGAATACCCAGCGGGATGGCCCTCCTTGCTTTCTGAACTCATTTGTGACAGCTGCTGAGCAACTGGAAAAAGAAAAGAAAAGCTAACATTTCCATGTCCAATTAGTGGAATAGTTAAAACTGGAGCAAGGCCATTTTAAGGCACAGTCATTCCTGGCTGTCTGTTGTCATGGTATTCAAATATTTTCTGTTCTTCCTGTGGCCTAGCAAAAATCAACAGTATGTTATTGTATAAAATGTCATAAGTCACAGCACTAAATAATGGCCAATTCACTTCTCTGCAGTTGTTTCTCTGACTGGTGGTCAATTTTGCAAAGGTTTCTGAGTTTAAGTCTGCCCACTGATGAAGCAAAGGCTGCACTTTGCTTTATTAGTTACGTTTGGGGCCTTTGCAGAGTGTTATAGTGGGACTTGTAAAAGAAGAGTCCCAAATCCTGTACTGAATTCTATCACTTGTTAGTTAACACTATAGCCTTCGACAAATTGCTTAAACTCCTTGAATTTCAGTTTTCTCACCTCTAAAATGTGGATAAGAGTAACTATGCAACTGGAAAATTTCCTGAGATATGAACTGCTGTCCTGTTTGGTCTTCTTAGTTATGAAAAGATGGAAAGTGTGAGCAGTAATTTGCCCTGTCTCTGACATGCTCCCCACTCCCCACACCCAGGTCTTTGTGTGCTGTGCTCCCTGGTCTCTAAGGAAATGAACATTCTCTGCATTTCAGGTTTCCCCCATCCCAAAAGGTTACCGCCACCCACGACTTTGTTTGGAGAAGGAATTGCTATGGAGAAGAACGAAGGAATTTTGTTGTGGCTGATATTTAGCCATCTCAGGTAAGACTCTCCCAAATTTGATTTGAGTTTAAAAAATAAAAGAGTGTGGTGATGTGTGCAGGTCAGTGACGTGGAGAACGCTCATCCACAGCCGTCCTTCTGGCGGAGTTCGTGTAAGGAGTGAAGCTGGTCTCTGTGGGAGCACCTCACCCAGTGTCTGACACATTGTCCAGGCGACAAATGCTGATTTGACTGTTCTCTGTTTGTTCGTACTTTGCATTGTCTACATAAGAAACGTCCAAACCTACAGAGAAGGGTTATTTGAGCCCCCCCTTTTTCTTCCACAGTATCCAGGAAAGGCCCATCAATTGAGGCAGTTGAAACACAAATACCCAGTTTAGACCGGCTGTCAACAAACTGGGTTGCTTTTACCCCTACTGTGCACAAAATTTCTTCAAGGGTTTGAGTGCGGTGAGCGATATTTAGAGAATCAGTTTTTAGGTCCTAAATCTCCACCTTCACTTTTTCCTAAACTTGATCAGCCCGAAGTGGATGTATCTCTAGTTCTCTTTCCCAAACTGCCGTTTTACAATCATGTTCCTATCACTTGGACGGAAGGAAGACACACCTCCCACCCGTTCTGAATCTTTGTACGTGCTGTGTTGCCTCCGGCTGTACAGACTCCTGGGGGTGCAAACAAAGGGACAGTTTGAAATACTGGAATCTGCAAAACTTTCTCTAAGCAGAGAAATATGGGAATCTTCTCATTTGTGTGTGTGTGTGTGTGTGTGTGAGAGAGAGAGATTTCTTTCTGTGGCACATCTAACAGAGTTCAGAACTAAAGATTTTGATCCATTTTGGGATTGTCGTGCAAGTGTCTGACATTGAACTTTTGATTGCCGAGGCATTCCTTTCAAAAGCCATTTTGTCTCGGATAAACACACTGCCAACTGCACGACACAGCGACTGGGAACACAACCAGTTGAGGAATCGGGCCGCCCACACCCATGGAGGCCCCTTTCAGAAGCCCTTGGGTGACCTGGATAACTGAACCCTTGACTGAACCCTCATCCACTCGCCCGTCCCCCGATTCCCACTCTGTTGCTTCAAAATAGCCAATAATGAGCGACTCCACGAAACCCCAAATGTGTCACCCTTGGACTCTAATAAAAGCAGAGCCCAGTGTGCTCCCTCTCTCTCTCTCCCCTCAACCTCACTGTGTGGTTGAACCCTTAGGTTTGCTGCGAACCCTCCAGGACTGTCATGAACATCTGTTCGTGATACCGTCTTTTCTGTAAGTCCACCAGGCAACTGCCCTGCCAGCTGCCTGCTGAGCAGCCCGGCACCAAGGAATAGACAAGAGTCACACACAGTAAGTGTGCTATTCGCTCAGCTTTGATTGAATGCAGGTTCACTCAAAGTAGAACACCAACATACGTTAATATTCTGCTCACACTCTAGCAGTCTAAGAGAAACATAACACACGTGCACAGCAATCAACGGGGGACAGCGAACCTGAGTCTCAGAGTCTCAGTCTGCGGGTCCCGGAGACAGCGCGGTGGGCAAGGCCGTCGTCAGTGTCTTGCCATGGAGGTTCCCCGGAGCCAGGTGGGGAGCAGGGCGGATGACGTCCTCAGCCCGGCAGGACAGGTCCTCCAGTGGCCGGTGCGAAAGGAGATCAGCGTGGCGTGGAGCAGCACTCCAGCGTGTAGAGCTTGACTGTCTCGGCAGTGGTCTGGGGTCTGCCTCAGTTTTACCTGGACAGTGGTGAACTCCACCTTCTGGGCCCCTTTGATAAATGTCTCGGCACCCCTGATGCCAAGTGTGGAATTTGCCCTGGAGCCTGTGGGTGGGACATGGCTGTTTTGTTTAATACCCCTGCTGGCAAGTACAGAATTTCCCCAGTAGCTTATCTATGGGTGGTCCTGCTCTGCAGGACATGGCTATTCTGGTCACATGGGCAGATATCCTAAGTGCATCTCCTTGACTGACGTGTCTGCTCTGACTGAGTTTCCCTCCTGAACCGAAGTGTTCTGGCGGACTGGCAGCCATTTTGCTTGACATGAGTGACTCCACCTTGTTTTACATACTTTGTGCTATGTTCATTGGACCAGTGTCATCTTGTGGGTCCTGCTCTCCACAAGGGCCCATGAGTAATAAATTTTGCTCCTCATAATTCCCTGCTGGTTTCTGCTGAAGTGTGTCCTGTGATCCAAGAACCACCAGGGCCGGTGCAGACGTGATATTGGCCCACAGTGGCCCAGGGCGGGGAATGTCTGTGGGGGTTTGTTAGGAGTCACAGGAGGGCCATGGCGGCAGTCTCAGGCATCCCTGCCCAGAATATCACCGTCAATAGAGTGGGACCAATGCGATAGGAGTTCTATGAGTTCAAGTGCGCTGCAGGGTGGACAGGGATAATGAATTTTGCATCACTCTCGAGGGGTCATGGGGCAAAGTAAGGAGAATACCTATAGGAAAATACCAATATAAATCCATTGTCCGTACCATGTTCTCACTCTCTATCACCTCTGCCGTGTCTCTTCTTCTCCCCCTTACTAGCTTCAACTCCATGGCCTGTCATGATAACCAGCCCCTCGTACACACCATACACCCTCTGCCCCCCATCACTGTGATACACCGGCCTATCAAAACCATAAATTTGGCCCTGGCCAGTGTGGCTCATTTGGTTGGGGCATCAGCCCGTAAATTGAAAGGTCACAGACTCAGTTCCTGGTCAGGGGACATACCTAGGCTGCAGGTTCGGTCCCTGGTTGGGACACTTACAAAAGGTAGCTGGCCAATTTTACTCAACTTGCTTGGAGCTCTGGGAGTGGGGAATATCCATAGATTCCATTTTTTTGCTTCTCAGTGAGGGTTGTTTTTCGAGGAAACCTGGGATGAATCTTCCTAGGCTGAGAATAACTCTTCTCAGTGGTCTCACTGGAAAGCATGACTCCTTTGGCCTATGGCAGGTGAGGGCTTGAAACTCAGACCCTGGTAGGATAGGCACCATCTCTGTCCACACTGTCTTCTGTCTGCTGTTCCAGAGCTGCTGAAGTGACCTAGCAGCCGGGTAGGTGCACCCTGAACTAGAGACGTTGTCTGTTGGGCCAGACGCGGGCCTTCGTCCTGCAGACTTGGGAGAAGCTGATGACAAAGGCCTGCCAAGGGTGCTGTGACTGTAATTTAGGATTGTTCACATTTCCATCTTTGTAGGCAGCTTGTGAGTTTGGAAGTTGCCCCAGCAAAGAGCCCTGAACTGGAAGTCAAGAGCTTTGAAATCAGTTCTGGCTCTATCAGCACTAGCTGTGTGACCTTGGGTGAGTAGCTTAATCTCTCAGAAGTCTGAGTTTTCTCATCTGGAGAAAGGATTCTAGTTTCAACGTTCAGATTCTTAATGTGAAAACTGCCAATCTGCACATAATGTCAATGGCTAATGTCTGAGTAGCACTTCATGTTTTACAAAGCTTCTCTTCAGCTGCCCTGCCGTGCAGACACGATCAGTGTGATTTCCCCAGGGAAGAAGTTCAGTCTTGGAGGATCAGGCAGATTGCCCAAGGTTTCACACTTAATAAATAGCAGAAGTAGGGCCCTGGCTGGCGTAGCTCAGTGGATTGAGTGTGGGCTTCGAATCAAAGTGTCGCAGGTTTGATTCCCAGTCAGGGCACATGCCTGGGTTGCAGGCCATGACTCCCAGCAACCACACATTGATGTTTCTCCCTCTCTATCTCCCTCCCTTCCCTCTCTAAAAATAAATAAATAAACTCTTAAAAAAATAAATAGCAGAAGTAGGACGTGAACATGAGTCTCCTGTCTCCGAATTCGTTGTTCTTTTTCCTGGTCTGAGTGAGTGGCTAGGGCAGTCCATAGGATGTGAAGAAGAACACATAGGCAAAGAAGTGGGTGGCAGAGAGAAAACAGTAGAGAATTTGAATCCTTGAAGACTAACTTTGAATTCGAGCTCTGCCTTTACTGATGGATAGTCCTAGAAAAGCCATTTTTTTCCTGTTCGGCAAGTGCAGGCAGGACTGACTGTCATCTGGCACACACTGGGCTGGTGGCCATACCGATTATTAAAATATTGACAGCTTTCTGTACTGTTGGGTGAATGGCCACTCCAACTGACCCCCTCCTTTTGGATTCCCTCTTACTCTGCCCTGATTCAGCAACAAAAGGGTTAATGTGAGGCTCGGCAGGGGGCATTAAAGACCTTTTCCATTTCTGGATTATGGTTGGCCCTAAGACGTATTGGTTGTTAAGTATTTTTTAATATCACCAATGATTGAGGCTCATAATGATAATATTCTTCTCAGCTTCAATGGGTTCCTGTTTAAGACAGTATAAAACAATGAAGATGATCAGTCAACTATAAACCTTAAAAGCAGATTTTTTGACGTGTCATAGCAATGGACTTTGGAAAAAGAGTTCTGTGTGCAGAAAATAATGCTCAGAATTTTATCTTAGTGGGACATATTGCCTATTAGCCTGTTCAAGACTGAGATAGTAGAGGAACTTACTTTACATTTTTGACTTTGAATTTTTGAATATTTGAGATTAGAACTCACTGCTTCCACATAATACACCTATCACATCTTCTGCTAATTTTGTGACTCTTGGGTTTTGACCCTGAGCTGATGGTTTTATAAATCTCCACTTATGCTTGTATGGTATGCCTTTCTACGCAGAGGCTCACACGGTGCCTACCCCAGGTGCGGCTTCAGGTCTGGGGAAGAGGCGATCAACTCCGTAGGGCAGGTTTACCACTGAGCTGAGGTCTCTAAAGTTCAGCTGCCCCAGAGTACCAAGAACCAGGGAAACGTGGCATCATTAATAACAGCGTGGTTAATATTAACTGAGTCCTTTTTCCATGTGGAGGGCTCTGCTGAATGTTGTACATGTTCTACTGGCCCCGGTGCTTGACCCTCCATCCATTTCACCCCACACGGCTAGTCGAAGCCAGTGGTCCCCAAACGATGGCCTGCAGGCCAGCCAGTCCCAGGTCCTTCCTCTGAAGACCCATGAGCTGACAGTATTTTTTACATTTTTATAGGATTGAAAAGAGAATATACTGCAGAGATTGTAAATGGCTTGCAAAGCTTAAAATCATTATTATTTGGCCTTTTACAGAAAAGTGCCAAGACAGGGTAATCCCACTTAGCCTACTAGTAGATGGATTTTGAGTCAGGTGTGAGGTATATTAAACATCAAATAGTTATTAGTCCTGACCCGCTATTTTGAGATGTATCAGTAAGCAAAACAGATAAAATTCCCTGCCCTTGTATATCTTACATTCTGATTCTAGTTAATGAGATATGTCTGTTGCTGTTTGGTAAAGGTTTCTCACAGTCAAGTGCACAATAGTGAAAGAGATATTTCTTTCTATCTCTAGATGTTTCTGTCATTGAATGTGATACTTCCAACTTCTGATCATGAGGGGAGCCAGCTCAAGGAGGAGTCAACGCATCAAGAGCGATGGGAAGAAAGTTAGAAAGAAATTAATTAAGCTGCTGAGTCACTCAGCCTTGAAATATGCCATACCTAGGAGTTTCCAATATATGAGACAGTAAGTTTTCTTTGTTTAAGTCCTTTTAAATCAGAGTTTTCTGTTGCCTGAGTTAGCTACCTATATACATCACTTAATTTAATCTTCACAACAGCCCTATGGGTTAACTATTACTCTCATTTCATAGAAATTACTTAACTGCATAGTCAACACAGTAAGTGAAGGAGCTGAGATGGGAACGTGGTCAAGTCTCCCTGGCCCTCTCAGGCCTCTCTGGACTCCCCCTCTTTGGAATTCCTAAGAGGTACGAAGAGGCAGAGGGAAAGGCAGGAGGTCAGTGTGGGGGCAGGTTTTATGTGCTGAGCCCGAGAATGTAACTGCATTTCTGACTCTCACCCTGTTTCTTAGACCGAGACCAGTGTTTCTGGGCCCCTGTCCCACAACGGGAAGGCGGCATGTTTCTGCGTGCTGAGCAGTCGTCATCCCGACAGTTGTGTTAATGTGTATAAGGGACTGAGCACTGTAATTTCGCAGGGAAGGGAAAATTTATCGATTTCTTTCCAATTCTCCCTCCACCATTTAGGTCACTTCTCACCTTGTCTACTGCAACAACAGACTCCCGCCTGGTCTATTCTGCCAGCTCTGGTCTTCCAATCCAATCTCCACACTCGAACTGGAGGGTAAAGACACATTTTCAATATGGTCTATGAAGCCTGTTCAACTCCATCTTTCTTTTCAAGCATTCTGCTTTTTCTGTTCCAGCCACACTAGCCTTTCTCAGCCACTAACTTCCACCTGGAATGATCTTTCTTTCCTTCTACGCCCAATAAATGCCTATTTGTTTTTCAGATACCTGTTCACGTTTTCCTTTTTCATGCAAGCCTTTTTAATTTCCCTGACTTGACCGACTCCTATCATTAATGTCCACAGGGCCATGGCACGTGGCACAATTGTAGTTTTCCACTAGTTTGTGGGGTCATCTGTTTAATCTGTCTCCTGGACTGTACTTTATGCTGTGGGAGAACAGAGGCTGTATTCGTCACCACTGTAAGCTCGGTGCCTGGCACACAATAGGTGCTTAGTGTATTTGTGGAATGAATGTATAAATGTACGCATGAAAGGCTCAGGTTGTATCAGTCCAAATCCCTGAGGGAAGCACAGGAGATCCTCAAACGGAGCAATGGAGGAAACTTTCACTTAGAAACTTTTGCACAGATATAAGTGAGCTTAAGGGAAACTAACAAGGGATAGTGAAGCACGCTGGAACTAGCAAAGCTGGAGAGAAGTTGGTGCCCTTAAAACTGAGCAAGTGAAGGGAAGAGTTTCACCCTAAAGATAATAGCTGTGGTTGAAGAGGACCACTGGACAGGAACTGTGTCCATTATAGACAAACCTAGCCAATCTTTAGAATCTCTCCAGGGCCCGGCAGTGCCAGAATTATGAGAGCAAGGAAAATATCATTAACATCAACACTATTTTTTTCTGTCTCGGCTTCCATCCAGTATCCCCTTACCCCCACTGCGTAAACCCAACTGCAAGCCCGAGGGCAGGACACTAAATGATGCGGTCCATAAAGGCTGCTCTCCAGGGCACAGGGTTTACTGGAAAATGGAGAAAATGCATCTGGCAAGACAAATAAAAAGTATCCAGCCATTGGTCATTGGGACAATTCCATCTCATGCTTTTCTGACAGGAATTGCTAAGACAAGTAATGCTAAAGGATAGCTTGAAAAGTTTCAATTTAATATAACATGCAGAAAGGAGCCACTAAAGTTTGAGAGTTATTTAGATAAAGCTAAAAATGTTTTCCGATTATGGAAATACCATGAAAGGTATGAATTAATGAAAAGCACATTAGATTTTTAATTAGACATGAAATCAAATCATAGTTCTGTCACTGTCTACTTTGGTAGCCTTGGTTTGTAAAGTGAGGGTTTTAATTAGTATTACATAATCTCATAGGGTTATGCTCATAGTAGGGCCTCATGAAATGATGACTACTGTGAGAAGGGTATGTAGCTATGACTTTCTAGGGCCTAGTGTTACCAGTAGACAGTCTATCTGGAATGTTGGGGAGTCTCTCCCATTGGTCAAGATGGCAGCAGGGAGAAGTTCTTACACTGAGCACATGAAGAGCTAGAAACATCAGTGGATAGTGCCTGCGCACAAAAAGCTACAAGATAATTGGATAAAGAAAAAAGCCCTGCACCCCCCTTGTGGTACCAGATTGGGGGTGGGGCCAGGGGAAGGCAGGTGTATGCACCACAGAAGTCAAAATGGTGCAGGGGGTGGTGCTGGACCAAAGAGGCCTGTCGGTCTAGCCTGGGGAAAGAAGAGATTGCTTAGGAAGTAGACTGACCCAAAGCATGTGAAAATCTCGGAAGTTAATCTGTCATGTTGAGAAAGCACCTGGCCCATCCCACACCCAAGCTAATATAATCCCAGGGGGACAAAGAAGCTCTGGGCCTTGTGACTCCTGCTCATGACCTGAACTGGCGTGGTACACTGGCCTGTTCTCTCTATGGGCCACGTGGCTGCTGAGACCTCCAGGAGGGAGCCTCTCTCCCTTGCCCACCTGGTCACACAACCCCACGTGTGTTTGCTTGCCCTTCCAGGAGAACGTGACCTTGTGGTCCTGGCAGCCACATGGCCCATGGCAATGCAAGTTCCACACACAGTCTCCAGGAGGAAACCTGAGATGAACAGTAACCGGGAACAAGCTAAGCTACCAGGACAGGGGCTCTGACCACTTAGCAGCAGCCTGCGGGCTCCAAAGGACTGTACTTTAAGTTGGAGCAGGAACTCTGGACACTGGTTTTGATCTTGGTCTTGCTGGGGAGATGGGCTTTGAGACGCGAGCCTGCCATCTACCAGATCATGCAGCACCTGAATAAAACCACTTTCTTTTTGCACCAGCATCTGCCTCACAAGTTTGGCTTTTGTGGTGATAGGCAGCAGAACCTCCATTTTTTTTTTGTTTGATTACGCTAGCGCCAGGACAAAGTCTCTCCCTGGGAGCTTGTTGTTGTCCGGCAAGCAACAGGGGATGAAGCAATTAAAGACTAAGTAGGCCAGAGAATAATCAAATATCAATTTTGCATTAAGATCCATAAGAAAGATGCAGGTCTCAGCTTTGGCAGACCTGCTGAGTAACTGAATCACTCGTCATCCTTGCCCTTCAGGAAACTTCCAGTCCTAAAAGCTAGAGCACTGTGGATCATGAGGGCTGTAGGCGTCAGCGAACTACTGAGTCACTCAGCTACGTGCAGTTAAACTGGCTCTTGAAACCAATAAAAGCAGGAGCAGTTTAGATCTCCTTACTGGGAGGTTCTACCTGGAGACAGTCCTGACATCACACCACCCGGCTCACATCCATTGCATGACAACTTTTCCCCCAACTAACAAAACCCGTTTGCTTAGGTGGTGCCAAATGGCTCCCATAAACACTGACTGACAGATTAAAGACCACATTGTGCTTTTCTTTGCCATTGAGTGAAGGAAGGACGTTATTTTCCATGTTGATAAGATCAGGAGGGAAGTATAAGGCACAATGGACTTTTATTTGTGCCTTAACCGTTAAACACTCACGGTATCCCAGAGAATGCCCGGGGGCTTTGTTCCACTTCTCCGGGTCTCAAGGCTTCTGCCACTAGGAAAGTAAAGGCACTTGGCTCAGAATTGATCCCCAGAGGGTTGAACAGTGTTCGGGAAGCTCAGTGGAAGGAAATTGAAAGGAGAGATGGAGAAGCAGAATTAGAGGGACCACAAGACAAGCTGAAGCCATGGTATGTATGCCTGGAGTCCACTGCGTGCGATATGGTCCTTGCCGTCAAATAGTCTGACACATACTGACAGAGAGGGGCACGCACGACCAGAGTAGTCAGACCAACAGGGCAGGTGCAAATAAGTCCCCCTCCACCCACGTAGCCTTCCTCAGGGCGCCTGCCCTGTGTTGATCTCTTTCTGCATGTTTTCTCCAGACAAGTCCAACAATTCTTCTATTCCCCCTCTCTTCACCCACTTTTAGCAATACCTTGTGTGGTCTCAAATTACTCTTGAATTTGAAGTTCCATTGGACCAGGAATCAAGAGGCCCACTCCTAGCTTGAGTTTGGCTGTGTATCTTAAAGCACAGCCTTTTAAAACTTCCAATTTTCTCGGCTCTAACGGCATATCTATTGCAGTAGTTAAGGGGTGAGAAGCCAGGGAAATATGTGGAGAAGGATTTTTTAAAATTTGACCTAAAATTATTTGCATACAGTGAAATGCACACACCCTCACCATATGCTTTGGTGGGTTTTAGAAAATACATACATCTGAGTAGCCAACACACCAATCAAGATGCAGCAGGTTTCTAGCACCTCAAAACGTCCTCTCAAACCACTTATATCATGTCCCTTATATGAGTCCTCTTGCTTCCTCTCCCAATGAATCCGTTCTACTCAGGAGCAACCACTGCTCCGATTTCTACCACCAGACATCGGTTTGTCCTGTTCTTGAACGTGGCAGAAGCATTTTTAAACGTGAAAGTTACTATACAAAATCTAGTATTATTACTGTTTTTCAACTGGATGGTATATCACTTAAGAGAAAAAATCTAGTCTTTTACTTAGTGCTAAGCAGAGAGCATAGATTTTATTTATTCACTTTAATATGTATTCAATATTGAATTTAATCATAGTTATAAGTACGGATGAAAGGACTTTGGCCTGGATTTGAAGAAAGCTTAATTCTGATCTGTTTTGCCTTTATCCAGATGTGTCTTTGGGCTTTGTTTTTTTAACATTTTGACCTTAAATTTTTCTTTTATTAAACAAAGGAATTAGACTAGATGATGTCATAAAGAACTTTTCTGCTTTTTGAAGTTACGTAACTAATAATGATAGTAACTAATCTAAACACATTTACTGACTTACTTATCTTCATAATAAGTTAAAGTGCTGTTATCTCAGTTTTTCAGATGGGCAGATTTAGAAATTAACTAACTCTCACAAGGTCACAGGACTCTTACAGGGACAACGCTGGTTTTGCATCCAGACGCTGAGCTCTAGAACCTGCCGCGTAACCATGACCCTCTGCTGCTCATCACTGGGGTGATAAATCAATAGAATGGGTAAATGTGAAAAATGAAAAATGTGAGTACGCGGTTAGGTCTAGTAATGGGTCACATTTCAAAAGTTTCAAACTAAACATTTTGTTGTGGAAATTTCTAAACACAACACAAAAGTAAAGAGCTCACCAAACCTCCATGAAGTCATCGCATAGTTTCAAAACCCACCAGCACTTTACCATATTCTTTTTCTCAGTTCTCCCCCTTAAAACTATCATGAAAACCTTCAAGCACGCCTTCATTAGCAGCATCATGACATTTCACCCTTGAATACTCCAAGATGCATCTGAAAATGAGACAGGCCCTGGCTGGGTAGCTCAGTGGGTTAGAGCATCATCCCAATGCACCATGGTTGCTGTTGTGACCCCTGGTCAGGGTACATACAAGAGTCAACCAGTGAATGCATACATGAGTGGAACAACAAATCAATGTTTAGGATAAACATTGATAACTCTCTCTGTCTCTCTCTCTCCCCCTCCTCTCAAATCAATAAAAATTTTTTTAAAAGACAATTTTTTACCTAAGTGCAATGCCATGACTTACCTAATAAAAATTAACAATAATTCTAGAATATTTATTATTTAATACTAAGCCCATATTCAAATCTCTGTCTTAACATTTATTTCTTTTTTGTTTTTCCAATTAGAGTAAAAAAAAAAAGTCCACTCATTTTGTTTGGTTGTTCTGCCCCTTAAATCTCTTTTAACCTGAAGTCCTCCCTTCCCTGCAGAGCAGAGCTTTACATAATTGGGAAGAAGGGAGACCGTTGGAGCATCTTTCTACTTTGTTTCTTATGCACAGAAATGGGGTAATGGGGGTGCAGGACAATAAAGCAGAACTATCCCCGCTTCCTCCCACTTTCTGGGCCCCTGACCCACCACCCTCTTACCTTATACGTGACCATCCTCTTTCTTCTACAAGTAGCAAAGAGCTGCCAGGAAGGGGCTGGTGGATTTCCTCACCCTAACCACAATCAGAGAGCACACTATTACTGAAGGAAACAGCTAGGAACAGCTCCTAGCAAAATACTTCTATTGTAGCAGGAACATGGTCTAACAAGGAAAATGCCACTAGAAGAAATGTCTCTGTGAACGTTTTTGTTGTTGTTGCAGGAAGGAGAAACAACATGAGGTCGTTTGCGTGGCAGAGAAGACCTCTTCCGGGTCAGACCTGGCTCCACCCTGCCCGAGGCCCAGGGGCCTGTGATTCCTGAGGTTGTGCAGGTGCCCAAGGGACCATGTCCTTCCATTTCAATGTCTGGATTCGCTTTATGGAGACACTTGGTTAATGAATAACTAGAATTGTAGAAACACAGCGCTAGGAAAGGCCTAGATAATAGCCAGTCAAGTGTTTTCAGCTACATTCCACTTTCCATTCACAAAGCCCCTTTATTCTGCAAATGTTTGGTTTGAATTTAAGTTTTTTTAAAAAGCATGGTCACTTCTTGATTGTGGTGTGAATCCTTATTTTGGCTTTCTTTTGCAATCTCTCTCTTGGAATCCAGTTTGTAGTAGACCTTAGTGATACTAAATAATATATTAGCTTCATCTCTTTGTCAGAAAGTGTCTGAAATAATGATTCCCAAACTGCCTTGGGAAAAGTACACATTCTTGATGCCAAAACAAACTTGTGAAAATGTGCTTTTTTCTTGTGTACCCTGGAAAAATACCTTTTTGGAATTCCATCCTCTTTGGTGGATCCCAAAATCTGAGAAGACCCATTTTGGGGTAAGAGAATGCCTACACAGAATGGGTAAATGAGATTTCTCTGATGTGTGTGCCCAGTAAAAATCATGTATTAGGTAATTAAATATAACACAACATTATGACTTTAAGATAGCTACATGTTTCTGTATTTTTGAATGTCTGAAGGGCACACAGCTAATGCAACACCCGTCACCTTGGCGGAAGCAGGGGAGGCCAGGACTGCAGAGTCAGACAAAGAAGACCGAGCTATCTACAATGTTTGATTTACTTCCAAGGAAACGGATTTATTTATATTTGATGTTCCTAAACATTAACTTCAAAATAACGAGTCAGAGGCTTACTAAACCACATGTGTAACAGAGCTTTGAAGGGTCCCAGAAAGTGGGGGAGGGGGGGGCACGAGATGGCCTCCCGCCTCCCCTGTACTCGCCCTGAGTACTCTCAGCCTTTGCGCTCCCCACCCCCCACCCCCCACCGGCCCCCTCTCTCCTCGCCAGGATCCCTAGTTTACCTGCTGCTGGGGTAAAACTTTCTATGCCTTTCCATGAGCGCCGTTGCTCACCCTGACCTCGGGAAGAGCTGAACGTGGAAAGGTGGAGACCAATCTCTCTGGTGTGGGCTGTGTGCTCCGGCAGGCTCGCAGCATGAGTACATCACTGAGCGTTTCAGATGCAGGTTCTCGTCTCTTAAAGGGATGGCATTTTATCTATTTTGTGAGTCTTCCACTGAGAATGAAGCAGTATATGAAGACAGTTTGCATACTGCCTCACATATAGTTCTGTAGTTAGGTTCAATACATAGTAGACCCTGCCTTTTAGTTTTCCGGTTCTTCTATACCATCAGGAATTGGGGTAGAAGTTGACGATCAAAAAAAAAAAAAGTAAGAAAGTAAGAAGTGATCCCTGTCTAGGGCCTATATAAATAGTTACATGTAGTGAAGTGGTTTAAGTTCTGTGATATGAGGTTACTGAAAGCACACAGAGAAAGGAGTTAATGGGTAATGGTAAGACATAATAGCTACAATTTATTAAGTGTTTACTCTGAGTTAGGCACTATACTAAGTGCTTTTTGTACTTTATCTTATTTAATCATCCCCACAAATCTTTGTGGAATGGGCTGTATTATCCCACTTTTGCAAATAAGGGGATTGTAGTTCATTGATGTTACATATCTTGTCTAAAATCATAATCTACTCAATAACAGAACTTGTTTTTGGATCTGCCTAACTCCCAAGCCTGTGTTTTTAACCCCTGCTTGAGGGATGAAAATAGAGGCAAGAAAATTTTATAGGGAAGTTTTATCAGTTCATCTGTTCATCCATCATGCATTCACTCTTCCTTTCACATATCTCAGAAAGGATTTAAGGTGGCTTTTGGGAAAGGAACATTTGAGCTGGGTTTTGAAAGACAAGCAATTATCAGTGACTTAGGTAGGGCCAGAAAGGGCTTTCCTGGCATGACAACAACATGACGGACAGTATGCAAGGACCCATCAACGAGTAGCCTGTGTGGCCCCAGACGAGGGTAGAAACAGAGGCTGGCGAGGTAGGTTTGTCTGGATTCCTTGTAAATAATGCTACCAAACCGAGAAGTTGTTCTGCAGGCCGGAGGAGTTACTAAGGATAAGGAGTGTCATAAGGCAACTGGTTTCCATTGCACAGAACAGCACCTCGTGTTTCGGCCCCAGATGGAGCCTCCTTGCTGACCGTTGTCGTTCATCCGCCTTTATGAGCAGCACTTGTCAGTGTTCAGAAAATTCGTCCAGTCTCTGACACTGAAGCTCGAACTCCATAGAGGCTAGTGGAAGAAATACTTCTGATTTTATAAAGGCCATTTCCAAGGAAGAGTTTTTAAATATGATTTGGACATTGGAGCAGGTCTGGAATAGGCTTTCATCCTGAGGGTTAGAGTTGCCAGATTTAGCAAATAAAAATACAGGATGTTCCCTGAAATCTGAATTTCAGATAAATAACAAGCCCCCCTTTTTTTAAAGTATGCAACATTTAAGGCGTTCTTAAGGTAAAAAAAATTTTGTTGTTTATATGAAATTTCAACTTATCTGAAATTTGTTTTTTTTATCTAAAATTTAAAAACAGGGTGTTGTGTTTTTCATCTGGTGACCCTACTGAGTTGGCGACTTTGTTTTGATGAATGTGAAATTCCAGGTTTATTAATTTGTAGTCACTCCCCCTGCAATCCCTCATCCCAAAGTGCTGACCTCCCGCGGGACTCAGCGCCAGGAGGGACGTGTGCTGTGTCCAGGGACCTTCCCACACACACGGGCCTGAAAGGGGTCGCGACCCCAGGGCAGCGAGAAACAAAAGAGGAGAGCCAAAGCCCGGGGCCCTGTGACGCCCTTTCTCCCAGGGCCAGCCTTGGATGTTTTGCAGCCTCCCGGTGGTCTGACCTGAATGGTTTAGTGTTGAAATTCTTTTCAGTGATTGTGTTGGTTTCCTTTTCATAAACCTTATCTCTTCCTTGGAGTGTGTTTCACTTTGCCTGGACGCAGTTGAGTATTCCGCTGGCTCCCTGAGTCCTCACGTCGACCCCGTTTCTGTGGGATTTCTTTCTGTGCTTGTTTGCTTTAGGAAGAGGCTCACTGATAAAGGAGGCCAGCGATCTGGGGCCCTGAGGATCCGCTGCCTCCTCCTCTGGCTGCAGGGAGCTCCCTCGTAATCACGGAACAACGCCAAAGCTGAAAAGCACCTTAATGTGATACATTATAATGAGACACAGGGAGGGGTGCCTTTAACCCCTGTCCCTCCCTCCCAGAGTAATTTTACTTTTTGTCTGTTGTACGTTGTTGGGTTGCCTAAAAGCTATCATTTCATCAAAGGATTCTGCAGCTAGAAATAAAGGACAAAATTCTTTCTCATAGCCCAGCTCATTACGAATAAGGAGTCTGAAGCCCAGAGAGGTGAAATGCCTTGCAGAGAATATCACGCCGCAGGGTCTCAGCAGAAGTGTGGGGAGACACGAGCCCGGTCCTCCAGCTCCCAGGCGGCGTTTGTATCCAAGTGTACCGCGTCCCCCACCCCATAACACCCGAGGGCTAGGCACATGCTAGGGGCCAGGAGAGAGACCTTTGGCCCTCCAGTTCGCATGCCTTTCCTGCTTGCCAAAGGAGGGTTGGAGATTGTTTTGATTACTGCTGGGAACAGTGGGAATGTGTTAAAACTTCAAAGGTAAATACCTGAGGGGAGCGAGACAGAGATCCCTTTTCACTCTAAGAGGCAGATCTAGCTCGGAGTCTGTTGTCTGAGAAAAAATGATTCACGGAAGAGAGCACAGAAAAATCTGGAAACCTACAATAGATGGGCTGCCTTTAGGGTAGAAGTGGGTTCCAAGAACAGGGTGAGACCTGGCAAATATACGTCTGTCTTCCTTCAGCTGGGCCTTTTGGTGTGTCATCACCTCCGGATGTGCGAGACGCACAGTTCCCTTTGCTCTCTCCTCCCTCTCCGATGGGCATTTGGCGGAGGGACAGCACTTCTGTTCTTGTAACACTGTCCCCGAGAGACCCTCCACAGTTCTTTCCTAGAGCTCGCCTCACGCACTCCAGGAAACACCAGGGAATCTCTGGTGCCGGGAATCGCAGCCCCGACTTTCTTTTGTGTTTACGTGTAGGGAAATGTACAATGTCATAAAGGAATCGAGGAACGAGAAGTCTCAGGACCCGGGATTCGCATTTAAACAGATCTGGACTATAGTCCTAGCTCTGACATTTACTAGCAAGTGACTTGGGACAGGTATTTTTTTTATCTCTCTGAACTCAGTTTCTTTAAATATAAAAGGGGGAAGGGGTGGGTGCTGATAATAGACCACACTTCATAGGATTGCTGTGAGGCTTCAGTGAGAAATGTAGACAAAGTGCTTTGCCTCGTGGCTGGTGAGTGGTAAGCACACCCTTGCTGCTGGGTGTGGTGTTATACCATCACCACCATCGTTATCACGCTTAGTGATAGCTTTATTATTCTTTCCGTAAAAATTAACTCATTTGCGTCTCCTATACAAGCGGTCTGGGGATTGATGTTATTCCTATCTTCATTAAAGACAATCTCTCAATCAACAGATTGAATTTATATAGAGACTTTTATTTATGTACTTTTTGGTAATAGAGATAATGCCACTACAGCACACACACACACCCCAAAAGAGTAAGTTTAAAAATGAAAAGAACATTGCTCCTCTTTTTTTTAAAGATTTTACTTATTTATTTTTAGAGAGGGAAGGAAGGGAGAAAGAGAGAGAGAAACATCAATGTGGGGTTGCTGGGGGCTGTGGCCTGCAACCCAGGCATGTGCCCTGATTGGGAATCGAACCTGCAACACTTGGGTTCTCAGCCCGCGCTCAATCCACTGAGCTACGCCAGCCAGGGCTCACTCTTCTAGTCAAAATAGTGCTCATCTTGT